TAGACATCCCAGAGGCTATACCAGAAATCCAATCTTTACAAAGTACAATACTGCCTAGTTTCTGCATGTGACTTTCAGATTTAAGAAAGAAGGTATGGTGATTTACAGTGACACATATATCATTTATGGACTTAACAGTGTTTGGGCTGCCATTAAGTCCAGCAACACTCATGACTTTGTAATAAAGCACTGACTTTAGGCAAATAACACTCTCCTTTTATGGCATTACAGAGTCTATTTGAGAAATCAAATAGCAAATGTTTTAGAATAGGTCAAAAATACAGGATCCTGTTTCTTCATAGGCTAAATCTTCTTATAACTGATAATTTCTATCAGAACTATGGACTTATAGAATTGAATAGCTTTGTTTTTTTCACCTTTCAGAGCAAAGGAAAGGGTCAGTTGCTCTCTTTAGCAAAGAATACTACTTCTGTTTTCAAACAAATACAAATATGTTCATGAATTTTTAAACAACATCCAAGAAGAAGATTCTACATTTTATAAGATGGCTATCCAGAACTATGCACATTGGTATGTCATCTTTGCAAGAAATTAGTAAAATTGTACAATGTATATTAGTGATGCTGGAAATAACGATTAATATAAACCGGTAATTCTTCTATAATGTACCTTAAATTGAAGCCTTAAAAATGCCTCACCATATAACTTATCTGGGTATTAATCAAGTAAGGTACACTAAGAATATACTTTAAATTATCAGAAAAAACAAGAGACAACAAATCTTAGAAAGATGGACATTTAAAGGAAATATTGCTTAATAAATAGTAGAGAACAAAAGTAGAGATAAGTCTCATAAGCCATTTGTTAAAATTATTTCCCTAATGTTCTTCTACATATTACATGTTTAGAGGACTTCAGGCTTTTCCCCTCACTTTTGGAGCTAAGTAAAAGAATTCCGGTATCCAGCTTTAAATCGTAAACTATTCTAACCACTAGTAAAGAGATCTCAGCAAGATTAGAAAGAGAAAATTGCCTTTTCCCCTACAGCAGCAAAAAAGCAGGTATTATTATGAATTAAAAAAATAATCTAACAAAAGTTATTTCTAATAACAGTCTTCACTGAAAAGTAAAATTATTCTCCTAAGTTAAAGAATTTAGATTGATTTGCTTATATTATAATTATTACACTGGTAATATTTATACCGGCGTCTCTGTTTTCTAAAAGGCATATATAAACTTTTGTTTCTAGAGCTAAAAGGAATGACTATACTTCATCCAGCCCTATAGGCATTTAGAAGAGAAAAAAAAAAATTTCTCCTGGATCTATTATTTAAGCAACCATTTTGCTTTTGACATTTACATCACCACTTTTACAACATTTTAATGGCTACATTTATTTTGTTGTAAGAATAAACAAGTAGTGCTGTAAAATCTTTCATTTGGGTCAGTTCCATTCATTCATTTATAGAATTAGCATACAAACTTGTAGTATTGTCAAAAAATTTTGAGTTCATCTTTATATGTCCTTTAATCAAATGGTTATGAAGTTTAGGGGGTGTGTGTGTATGATTAATGAAGCTGTGAGCAGTTTATTTCTTGTGTTTTTACTTATGTGAAAATGTATTTCTACTATTTACCCAGATAAATTAAACATTGAAATCAATTAAAATCCTTTGGCTTTTGCTGGCTCTTCTGGAACTCATTGCTTAAATTTTTGTTTGGTTTGATTTTGTTATTTACTGTCACAGGTGAAATCTCAATGAGCATAAATTATTTTATTTTAATTTCATATTTGCAATTAACTTGTCTCAATTGTAATGATGCTCATAGGAATTATTATTTATGCTTGTTCTTGTTTACTTTATAATTTTAAACATTCTCTGAGATAAATAAGAAATTGATCTTTTCATTCATTTGCAGACTCATTTCTTAATTCATTAAAGTTTCTTTTCATAATCTTAAAAACAATTCACATATCATGATTATTCCTGTCTTTAATTCTTATTGATATGAACTGGGCTTCTTTTCTATTTTTTCCTCTCATTTCATCATTCTATCCTTTCCCTATTATGTTCTATAAGAAGTTCGAGTCTGTTTCAGTTTTCTAAACAGCTCCTGAATCCAGTCTGTTTTTATTATTTATAATACTATATTAAATACAGTTTGTTTTTCATTTTGAACAGTTTATCCCAGTTTTCCCTCCTCTGTCAATTAGCTTTATAGTTGTGTAAACTTTTGTGTAATTTTTCATGCACGAAAATATATGCATTCCTTTCAGATTATCTTTGGCCAAGTTTCTTACATTGATTCTACTTTTTTAAAAAGAAATTTATAAGCCCACAGAGCTGTTCAGCTGTTGGCACTATTATATTTTATGCTTAGTGCTTGTGACTTTTCCCTCTGCTTATATTCATGAAGGGATTTTCTTTCTTTCTTTTTCTTATATTCATGAAGGGATTTTCTTTCTTTCTTTTTCTTATATTCATGAAGGGATTTTCTTTCTTTCTTTTTCTTATATTCATGAAGGGATTTTCTTTCTTTCTTTTTCTTATATTCATGAAGGGATTTTCTTTCTTTCTTTTTCTTATATTCATGAAGGGATTTTCTTTCTTTCTTTTTCTTATATTCATGAAGGGATTTTCTTTCTTTCTTTTTCTTATATTCATGAAGGGATTTTCTTTCTTTCTTTTTCTTATATTCATGAAGGGATTTTCTTTCTTTCTTTTTCTTATATTCATGAAGGGATTTTCTTTCTTTCTTTTTCTTATATTCAGAACTGTGTACACTTCCTTGCCTAAATGTTTTAAAACCCGACAAAGGCTTATATTCACCATTTCAGAAAATTTTCTATGGAGAACCAGGAGAAAGCCAGATCTGGAAAATGTTTTGGTAGGGAGATTAACTTTACTAGAGCTTCTTCCCGGTTGCCCTGGCATAGAGTAGATAATTTTGCACACTGACTCTGCTTTTCTCATTGCTTCTTAATTTGGCAAATGATTGTCTGATGATGGCCCTGGAAGTGTTCTGCGTCTTTCCAATTTGTTCTTATCAGGGATTTTTCTGGCAAAGTTCCTTGAAATCTCTGTTTTTATATGGTACCCTCACTTAATTTTCAAAAAGGATGGAAATTTGGCCCATATCTTATTTTCTTGAGATTCATCAAGTAGGAATTCTGGATGAACTTAAACATTTGAGGCCGCTATTTTAAATTGAACCCACTGAAATTGTATTTTAATCCAAGCCTGTTTTTTTGTTCAGCTTTTCCCTTACACACAGTTTTAAAATCCAAAATATTTGAATTCTCGTATTTTTTACAACAGATATCTAAAGCCCTTGTCAAATTTCTTTGGCTTCTGCCTGAAACATCTTGATGTTGCAGCTTGGAACGTCTTAGGACCCTTCGACATTCATACATATGCATCCTCCAAGTGCAGCAGAGCTGTGGCCATGGGGAAGCCTCCAACCAGTCAAAATACAAACAAAATGATTAAGGCTTCTCTATTTTCTCCCTCAGTGGACTATGTTGACACACATTTATAGGATTCCTCAGTAGTTTCTAGAAGATGAAAACATCAGTATACCATAAGGGTTGCTAAGGAAAAAAAAATGCATCCTTGTGTCAGCCTTTTTGCCTTCCTTAGTTTACTCAGGCTCTGATAGGAAAATAGTAAGATTCAAAGATCTATGATTGCAACATGTTAGCAGGTGATTGTGAGACTCTTGAACCTCCAGATTTCCATGAGTCTCCCAGACAGGGTGGAGAACTTAACCCCTCTTACTTGTTAGAGGAGAGTAGTGCTAGAGAATGCTTGTCTTCATCAAGATCCCTTGTCTGCCTCTGCTTATTACTTCCTGGGCCAGTAAATAGAGTCAGATCTCAATACACACCAGAGGAAGAACAGAGTTCCTGCTTTCAGGAAAGGCCTTACATGTGGAAGAATTGAAGTTCCTAGTTAATACAAACCAGAAGGAAAACAGGAACACAGAGGGAAGTAGAACTTGTTGATATTGGACTGGAGTGAGGGTGCAGAATGAAAGACTCAGCAAGGAGGAATTTACTGATATGAGCACACATCTTCATGACTTATGTTTGCTTTCTTAGCCAGGACTCCTGGAGCTAGTTATAACACTCTGCTGGGATGGTTCCTGAATTGTGAACATAATGATGGCCTGTTGTAAATGAGATGAAGTGTTATCATTGTTACAGTAGAGTATTGAGGAAGTATTCAGAAAGCTACAGAAATGATGAGAATGCTAGAATGGATTTAGTCTGTAAGCGTGAAGAATGCTTCCTACTTCCATGTGATACGTTTTCACTAAGGCAATAAGAGATGTACTGGTGATGGAGTCTTGAAATCTTTAATCAATGTTTGATGTAATATGTAGGCTGGGATTGCCTTTAATAGATGCTGCCATGGGGCTAGATTCCTTGGTATTAATTATATTCTTTTAAATGGTAGAGACTATATAATAACACTTTAGGGTTTTAATTATATGTAATGAACAGAAGATCTACAGTGGCAAACAGGGTACTTTAATCTGTGGATTTTCCATGGACAAAATAGTGTGGTAGATTAAACATTGACATTCTTTGACATTCTTCCCAATGAAAGGTAGGGTCTAACTCTCTTCGCCTTGTATCTGGGTGGCCTGTATGACTTCCTTGAGAAACATAATATGGTAGATATCTCACTGTGCCAGTTTCCAGGTCCAGACCTTAAGTTACTGACAGCTTCTATCCCTATATCTTGGAAGATTTGCTATAAAATATTTGTTAGAGGGGAGTGGGGAAGAGGTGTGTGTCATAATCATCATATAAAAATAATCATATAAAAAATCATTGTGAGCATTGGATGTAAGAGTTCCAATCATGTAGAGAGGCCAGGGAATGAGATGCCATGTGGAAAGAGAGAAACAGAGAGTAGAGAGACACAGAGAAACCATTGAGCCACATGCACTAGAAATGTGAGTAAAAACCGTCTTTGC